TAATTCACATTAAAAAGGGGCTCAAAACACTTCAAGATGTCAAAATATATTACTCATTTTATTTTAACTATTTTATTACATCATAGTGTGGTTCAGAATTCGAAAAGAACTTGTTTATATAGACTAAGTTTTCCAGAAAAACTCTTTAATATCCAAAATGTTCCTTTGGATTTGTGGTGCTTCCATGTTTACCAACGTGTAAAGTAGAACTTTTCCAGTTATCTTAAAATATAAAATTAACTTGAAATGTGTTATTTAACCTAAAGTAGATTTCAACTCTGTTGAAAAAATATTGCTATGAGACTGAACATGACCATTAATCTATCTTCCAGTCATCTCTAAAGTTTGCACATATCATCACATAGCACTCTCAGCCATTTAATCATGAAAAACACATCAATATATGTTCATTTGACGGTTTTTTCAGTTAACAACTAGATTTATCAAAAATCTTGTTCTGAAAAAACATTTTAAGCTTATTTTATTATGAAATGATGCGTATTAATTTTCGATTAGAAAATTCTGTACACCTCTCTCCTTTACATCTCGTATAACTTCAAACACAAAGTATCTCCATTCGCATTGTATTCTGAAAGGAGTAACAGCCATAGTGAATAACTGTCGTTTTTTATTAGAGTCCAAGAACATTTATGATGTACAATTGAGTAACATTATTAAAAATCAAAATAGAAATATATTACCAATAAGATAATATACGTGACTAAATGGTTAACAGTCTTCTATTCAGTATAGAAATTTTAGACATTACTTTTAGTTAATTTTTTTTAACAACAAAACAATTTTATCTCATCAATCTAATAATGTTACCTTTTTACTGGAAGAATGGTTCTTCTAATTAAACTGAAACCTTTGATCCTCATAATGTTCAGTATAGATCAATCTAATCCCGAGATCTCGCCTCGAGATTATTAGAAAAAAAAGGAGAGAAGATATAAAATTACTGATCTATCGAAGTGTTATATTTCTCAAAAAATTACACAACAGATGTTTTCTCCTAATAAAAATGTTTCCAAGTGTGTTTTCAAAATACCATATTTTTGTCGAGTTACGTATTATGTATGGTTTGATATTTTCTTTATTTTATAATAAGAAAATTGTTCATTACAACATTCATAAAGGGCATAAGTATTATTCTACTTTGTTTTCCTACGAATATGCTTAATTTGATCGGAGATTGTTGAAGAAACATGGGAGTTAAAGAAGAATGTTGATATAATGTATGATATCTATTTTCCTTTTTCTTTTTTTTATTTTAGTTACTGATTCACCATCGACAGCTACAACTCGTAAACTAAAACCTAACGGACATATTGATACGAATGGTGATATTCATAAAAAAGTATATTCAAATAATCGAACAAAAACGAATAATTATCAGCCATTGACAACTCCATCACGTAGTACAAATACCGTGAATGGTAGTGTCAAGCGAAACATAGCTGATTATTCCGAAATGGAACGTAACATTTGTGCCGAACCACCGGCATCAGTAAAACAATCACATACAAACGGTTATAAATCACCATTGACTATAATTCAAGGTGTTCCACCATCTAACAATCCTCGTTCCTCTGTTTTGCCAACAACTGTAAATGGAACTAATCATTATTTACCCATAATACGCCGAACAGAACAACAGCAACAGACACCATCAAAAATAAAAACAACGTTAACAAATAGAAAATATTATACAAATTCTGATCATCGTTGTAATTCATCTCGAAGTCTTGTTTCATCACCAATCTCAAATACAAGTTCAACAAATTCATTTTCTGCTGCATCCGAATCAACAAACGTCAGTATTAATATTAACAACAACAATTGTGTTAGTGATCATGGAACATCATCGGAAGGAAATCATTCAAGACAAAAAAATTATTCACCATTAGATATCCATCATTATCATCGAAATAATTCTACTGATTTAATGACTAAATCTGAATCAGCATGCACAATTCTCTATAATAATGATGAAAAAGAATCAAATAGTAAAAATACAAAGTCAAAATCAACGTACGATATAGAATCATTGAACTATTGTAACATGACAAACGATTGTGCTGTAGGAAGAAAAACATTTACGATACAAAATAATACAAATCAGATTTTATTAGATAACGATAATAATCGACCATTGTCTCGGACTAAAGATAATTTAAACGTAGCAAAAACATGTTTTACACCGTTAGAAGTGGTCAAAGAAGATGAATGTTTAGAAGTTGAGCCAAAATATATGGTATGTATAAATAGCTAATAATTTTCGAAAGTAAATGATAGAAGAACTTTCAGATACTATACTTGTATAAGTGACCTTGCTTTGAGTGTACTTCTTATTTGTACGAAATTATCATGTAATCGATTCATTAGTTAATCAAGGACGAGTTTAAAAACTTTTTAGAATATATGCAGTCAACTAAACAGTTTTTAGATTATGTATAGTCTAACCATGAAAGAAACAATTTCAGCACAAGACTGCTGAGTAAATCTGACTTTTCATATTTAAACGTGCGTACTACAACATGTACCTTGAATCCGTTACTGATCTAGTTCTAAATCTATTATTGTAATGGTAACACTAGACCTCATATGCATATTACAATTAAAAATGGATAGATGTCAGTATGCTGTTGTTTATAATCAAATAGCGCTGAAAAGAGTTTGTCGGTTAAAATGAAAATGAAGCCAGCACCCTCTACGTATGAAGTTGCTTTAGTGTTTATATGTTGTTTTGGTCATAACTAGTGCAAAATAATGCAATTTGAAATTGGATTTGGCAGGGATGGCGCAAAGACAAAAGGCCAGGAATACATCTCTAAAGACCCAGCAGATGTAGTGTGCAGATTAAAACATATCAATTCAATCGAGAAATTTTAAAAGTGTGTGTGGCCAAAACTAATCGCAAATTCGGACTCTCCATAGCGGTTACCTTGTATGCGACAAGTTTTGAATCGGGATACTCGAGAAAAAATTTTCTCCCATTGTTTTGCAAAAGAATATTTTACGAAATTCCTGAAAGGGGCCAAGGGCTGAATGAGACTAAGAAATTTTTCTAGAATATCCCAATTCAAAACTTGTTCTATACAAGGTAACCGACTATGAAGAGTCCGAATCTGCAATCAGTTTTGGCCGAACACGTTTTTAAAATTTCGCGACTGAATTGATATGAGGTTTCAACAACAGTTGAGTGCACAACCAAACTATGAAAATAACATTTTGCAGTATTAACAGCTTAAAAAACATCATAAAGATTTTTTTGTTTTGGTGGGAAAATTTGAATATTTTTTCAAGAGCTTCTGCTGGGAGAAACAGTAACTTATTCAAAATTGGGAGGGGAGATTGCTCATCATACCTCTTGCTCTCTATCGTACAATCCGTACGTTCTGATCAGTGCTTACGTGGGTTAACTTTGCGCATGCAAACTACAGAAAATTGATTATGACATATCTGGAGTGTTGTACGTCCTTGTATAAAACTCTTTGCACATAGACTCCTTCTAGAAAGTGAATCATAGAATGATAAAGCTTTATGATCAACCAGGACAAACTTGAAATTCTTTATCAGTAAATAAAATACTTTTATTCAAAACTCGGTGGCACACTTTGGCAGATAAATTTGTTAGAATTCTATTGTTATTTGATATCGATATTTGCTAGTATAGAAGTGTCCTGTAAGGCGTGCCGAAAGAAAGGAAACGGCAAAATATAATTGCATCAATAATTTACATTTTACATTAATAAATAATAACTAATTTTCCCCTGACAGTTCAGAATTAGGTGATTTCCAATTTACTTTATTCTGTACGGTAGTCGTTCAATTAATATAAAAAGGTTACTCTTTGATAATTTTTCTTTCTGCTTTAACTGACCAAGGGTCTATATTGGGAGAGCAACTGCTGTGTACAACTGTTTTCTCTTCTTGCTTATGAACACTTTAATATCACGTCGCCAAAAAAAGAAAATTATCGATTCTTTCTCTCCCTTATTTTAGTAGAGATGTATAGTAAATTTTGAATCTCGTTTGCAGCAACAGCAGTAGAAAAGATGAATTGTATTGATGTGTGAGAATGAATAAAAGAAGAAGGAAATTGATTCTTATATTGTAAAACAGGATGATGAACTTTTATGAGTGAATAAGTATTTAGTTTTGCACGCCTAGTTAAGAATAAGAAAAATTGAGAGAGAGAGCAAGAGAGAGAGAGAGAGAGAGAGAGAGAAGTAAACGTATGTTTACTCTAAACATGACAATCATTCAACTGACAACTGATGACAGGAATTAACTTTACACTTTTTGCATTGTTGTTGTTGTTGTTGTTATCATCCATGACCTCTCAGGTCAGTATGTGCCATTGATTCAACATTAATGTGACGCTATATATAGAAAACCTAAGGGTTTGAATGAACACGTTGTTAAAAGAATGAAAAGGAAGAAGAGAAATACAAAAGGAATATATACAACATAATGATTTGTTTCTTTTTTGCAACGTAGCAAAAACTCTGAATACAAAAAAAAGAAATAGTTGATGTTGAAGAATTGTTACAGTCGATTGCAAACATAGAAGAACCTCGATTATTATGATGTTGTTCAATTCTATTATCTAAAGAACAATTTTATTCTCAAATAAAATTGTTAACAGGAAATAAAAAGTTTATTTCAAGATGGAAAGTGTTTTAAAGGTAAAAATAGCAATAGTTTGGCAAGAGTCTAGATGGACAGTTCGACATCTTCATTCTGACCAGAAGTCTAATAAAAGTTTAATAATAGTTTTAAAAGTTTCTAGTTTATAGGGAAAAATGATAGCTTCAAATTTAATGTGACAGTTGTTAAGTTCAAGTAATTCATATCCTAAAGCTCTTTCTTTCTAGTGTACTACTGACACACTGTATCAACTTGTTTTTTGTGTACTTTACGTCTTCTCGTGCATATTTTTCCTTAGTACGTGAACCCCACTTGTGTCGATATATCAAGAAGAAAAAAAAAAAACGTTGAGGATACGAAACTTGAAAACGTTATGATAATGTGTTCAGTAGTCTTCCATCATATTATAGTCACATTTGTTACACACAATATACGCAGATGTATGTATGTTCATGACGTATGTAAAAAATTGAAGATCGAATTTGATTAATGATATTTTTAAAATGAAACAGTGTGTTCTTCCTTTTCCATCGTTTCATTTAAATAATTACACGCTTATTCTTGGTTAAATGATGCTGATGCACATTTTAATTATTAGACTGATCTAATTATTTGTCAAAAAAAATTATCATTAATCGAAGATGGTCTAAAGTGAAGGAAATATATTTATGAATGTATGTATACGTCAGGTTTACAGTAGTTTTGTGACAGGCAAATTGGCAGTTAAATGAGCTTATAGTGTATACGATTTAAATGTCTTATGTGTTCAATAAGATTAGTTGCGTAACCGTTTAATCGATGTGATAATGACAAAAAACTTCGTCGTTATAAAAATAAAATATTTTTTTCTAGTAATGACGTTTTATTTTTCACAATTCACACTTTACACAAGTGTCCATCCACATTGCACCATACTAAAAGTATTTTAAGAATTAATCATTATATGTAATAAATGTCCATCAGAACGCTCACTCACATACACATCACTCCTTCGCCATCACAGCGGTATAGTATGCTGTACGTGCTAACTCTAAATATTCTTGAAAAAATGAATTTATGGCAGTCATTAACTTTTAGTTATCTTATGAAAGAAAAGCGAATATTACATAGTATCAGTGATATACATGGTGCGAATAAACATGCCATGTCATGCATTAGGGTACTACTTCGAAAAATATTACGTTAAGTTAATTTGTTTATTAATTTATCAAATTATCATATGTGTTAGTGATTAACGAAAATTTTTTTTGAACTTATCTATGTCGCCACTATTAGAAAATGACTTAATTGTTTTTATATGGCAATGGGGAGTAATTTGTAGCTTTTATGCACGCACAAGTCTGCTGAATATAATGTTAATAAACACCACAGACATACACACATACACACATGAATGGATGAGTAAATGATGTCACATTCACAAGCATATATCATCTCAATTTCGTTTCTTTCAAATTGCATTGAAATTTTTTATGTTGTTAACACTTAATAACAATACTCGCGATACCAAATGAATTTGAAATAAAATATATATGTAAATGTGGCTTTAAGGCAAAATATGTTTTCAAAGAATCATCATTGTTTTATATGCTCGCGCACGCATGATGTTGCGCAAAGGCTTCTTTATAGTATTCGTTAATGTTAACTCTGTATCATTAAAAGTGCAATTATATTAACCAAAGGCAATATATATATATATATATACATATACTACTGGCTATTATGAATAAAAACATCTTAAATTTCCGAAACTAACAGTTCATTGATAAGTGAAAGATAAATATGTTCGGTGGCAAATTAGAAACTTTTTTGATGACTTTGTCTAATTTTCTTTTTCTTCTTCTAATTATAAAATATACAGAAGGAACAAAAAGTTTTATATTTTTTTTAATCCTTGCTTATCATCTAAACCTATACAGACTATATGGAAATAAGATCTCTATATAGAAAAAAGAGACAAATTAATTTTATTTGTTGTTCGAGAGAGAAAAGAGAGAAGAATAGAAGATGCTTTTCATCCTATATTTGTACAGAATCATCATTGATCGTATGTTGTTCACGTAACTTTATGACATACATGTGTTTCTCTACACGGAATAAATTAATCGGATTGTTCAGGTAAAAAATATGAAAAAAAATGATGAGATATTCGTCGTTGCTGTTAAAGATACATTTATTTGATGGGTGATTATGAACTATGTTCGATATCTGTGTGTATTTACTATTATTTTGTGTATATGTAGATCGACACAAAGTACAATGATAATGATGTTGAACATCAACTATGTCAACAACAAAAAAATTCTTTAATCAATATAATAAAACAACGTTATGCTAATCGTACTGAACATCCAGCATCTGTATCAACCACACCAACAATGGTATAATCTTATATTTTATTTAAACAGTTTACACGACTTTTGATCATTTCATTTTTCAGCCAAGAGCTCAATCACCAACGAGGCGACCATCATCCACGGGACCATATGATGATGAAATTTATACAACAAAAATGGCAACAACCACAACCAGTAACCATAAATTCTATCTCGTTCGATTGATTAATGATTGTTATATTTTTTCGTAGATTTCGCACGCGGGCATCGTACTAGAACAAGTCTACCAGTTATTGTACGACCAGCAACAAATAAAACTAACTCTCTAGGTAATAAATTACAGCTGAAAGAATATATATCGCAAAAGGTTCAATCAAATTACTGTTTTAAGGGTTATGTTTTCTTTGTGTTGGTGATGAGACAAAAAAAGTTCTTCTACCAAACGAAGTAACATGTACGGATACAGTGAAAGCCTTATTTGTCAGGTATGTTTCTTATCTAAAAATGTGTCAGATAATTTGATCAACAAAAGAATATATGCATATTCTTTCTTTCATTATATCTCGTTTTCATAATGTCTACTTGCAAGTTCTCTTTCTATTATTTAACTTTTCTTCTTGTTGCAGAGCATTTCCACATCATTTGTCAATGAAATATATGGATCAAGATACAGTACGGATATATGTCAAAGATCCTGAGAGAGATTTATTTTATCAATTGGAAGATATAAGGTATATATATATATTTCAGACACACATCTATCTATAGATATAGATATCTATTCACATATAGCTTTGTGTTATTAGTGATGTCAAAGATCGTTGCGTATTAAAAGTTGTTCAACTAAAAACATGTGCATTAATCAATGAGAGCGAATCACCATGTACTATTGATGGTAGATTATCTGTTTTTGATAATAATCATATATCGACATCATCATTGACATCAACGAAACCATTATGTGCTTCAATCGCCACCAACGTCAAATCAAAAGATCAAGATGATATCTATGTCCCGTTCACATCGAGACCAATATTAGCCAGTGAAATAACATATCAGAGGCTAAGTCGACTTGGAAGAGTGCCATCATCAACATCAATTACGGGACTACAAACAACAAATAGTACACGAAATTCGATTGATGAGAATAAAATAGCTACAGCTCAGGTAGCCGCAACAACTATAACCACGACAAATTCTCGTTCACTAAGTGAGCCAAGACGTCGTATACAAAATAACAGTAATGATAAGGAACAAGATAGAATAATAGGAAGTGAGACGATACTTTCACATAATCGCACAACAAGTAAGGATCAACAGACGAGGTTTGATCGGTTTACGGTAACTTACCACTGTTCGTGTTTCAGTGTTTCCAGAGAAAATTTCGCCAAAATCAACAGCATTACCCTATGAGAACGGATATGCTTTCAGTCGTAGCGGTTCAACGACTCCTCGTTTAACAGACGACGATGCTCGGTAGGTAACTAATTATTAATCTATATGATGCGTTCATACTGTTCTCATTGTACGAATAGGTGTAAAATGGAATATATGGAAAAACAACTAGAATCTCTGACAGATTTTGTGCAAGCTTTATCACGTTCAAATGAAACGAATGAACGTTCAAATTCATTTAATAACTGTAATGCACTGTTTAAAAACGGTAAACTCTCAAACAAGCCATTTCATTTTGACAAATGTATTTCAACGTATTGCTGTTTTTTTTTCAGATGGAAAGTCATTGAGACAAAGTTTATATGAATTAAAAATTAAAACTCATGCATTAAAAAATGATCTGAATTTATTGAAACGTTTGCAGCAAACAATGCAGGATAATATGCGAAATCAATTCCAAATGGCAAGCAAAAGAATACAGGTAAATATGTCTTTATTCAAATGAAACTTAAACTATATTTGATTAATAATTTTAGGATCAATTATTGAAGTATCAGATCGAAAATAAAGTCGAACGTAGAACAGTGGAAACTGAACTCGATAATTACATCATTTCTAGTGCAAAAATTGATCGTGAACTGGAGTACGTATATAAATAGATTATTTTAAATGTATGTAATATATAATTTATTTTTACTTATTCTAGAGATTTAGAAGCAACAGTGGAAGACCTAAGGAATGATGTGATGAGTAATAAAAATTGTCATGTAACAATGAATGATGTTGAAAGTTTTGCATTAGCATTGAGTACAATTAGTCGATCATTAGTCGATTTAAAAGGTAAGCATCTGTGTTTGATTAATTTAATGAGTTTCCAACATATTGTTTGTGTTTCAGCGTCATTTCCAGTACTAAGAGAAAAAATATGTTGTCTTGGACTTCAATCGACACTAAAAGATGATGAAAAGTATGTAATGAGATTAATATTAATTAAACCAAAAATTTAATTATACTTGTAATATTCATCTAGATTTCTACGTGAAGAGCCAGAAAGACTTGATTTCACAATTAAAAGATGTAAAAGATTAACAACGATGTTATACAATCTTAAACGGTAACCATTCTATTTTATAATAAAACTCTATTTAATACAATGTGTGTTTAATCGTATAGTTTGGCTGTAGGACAAGAACAAAAAAAAATAAAAGTAAAAGCCATTGTTATACAATCCTCATTTAATTTTGATAAAAAAGCATTAAACAATGAAATTGAATCAGCGACACAAAATTCGGATGGACGTCTTAAAGCGATTGAAGTAAGACTGTTTATTGAAAAGCTTGTTAATAAATACAATACATTTTTTCTGTCCGTTTTCTAGAAAGCTGAAAAATCGCGCGAACGTCGTCTTTATTATGCTAATCAACTTGATTCATTGAAACAATTGAAATATAATGATGAACAACAACACCAGGTAATACTGAATTATATGTAGCAATAGGAAATTTAACATCTTAAACATGTTTAGAATAACGAAAATAGCCGTGATTCAATACAATCATTTGATAATCGCAGTTTAAATAATTCTATCCTATTAACATCGAGTGCAAGAACAAGTATTTGCTCAAATCAATCGAGTTCAACCGACACTAACAATTGTCCATCTCCATCACTTTCGTTTATGGTACGACAAGCAGTAATTACACCCACACAAGCAAGCACTGATACTAATATGACTATTAATACAAATTTATCTACATCCTCTAATTCATCATCGGAATCAAATAATAGACTGTTAATTAATCATTCTCGTTCACAACTAACCTCAAAACAAAATAAAGTAACATTTTCTAATGAACTTGTAACAAATGGTAAAAAGACATTAACAAACGGTTCATCATATCCATCATCTCGTGATCATTCTCAAGATTCAATAACAACAAAATTTACACAATTCCAATGTTCATCTCCACTAGTGACAACACATATGAACAATAAGAGAAAACCCATGCCACCACCTCGTGTTGAAAGTAATTCTCATCCAACGAATAAAACAATCTCTTACCAACTTCTATCATCTTCTTCGTCTAGTGCTGTATCCTCTAGTTCATCGACATCATCTGGTTCATCAACATCCCAAAAAAATGGTTACAATCACCATCAGTCAAATATAAAATGTTTTTCTACTAAACCTATATCGTTATCTCCGCAAGAGTGTCGACAAAACGGTCGTTGTAATTCATATAGTTCAAGCAGTACAGATACCGATTCCGTTATTTCAAATCCAAATATATCACATCTACCATCTCATACAGTAACAAATGGAACTAATATAATTAAACGGTCACCCGTAAGCAATCAGTTATTAAAATCGTTGCCACCATGTAATGGAGGATTCTATACGAATCAACAATCTAATAATAATAAATTCGATTCTATAATAACTGATTATTCAAAAAAATTAATGCGTACATCCGTGACAGAGCTCTAATTTGTAATATATTAAGTAATGTCTCTTTCTAGATCAGATATATATTTGTGGACTTTGTTCATTATGTACAGCTACTGTTTTTATTTCGACTGTGTAAGTATTAAGAATACGAATGGTTTTTTTTTTCGTAATTTGTAAATATTTGTTGTTGGTTTTATTTCTTAAATATTTTTACACAGCAGGGATTAGCTTTTTGTTGTTGTTTAATAAAATTCTCTCTAAAGATAATATAAAACTAAGTTATTATCCTTCTATGATCTCTTTTAGAAGCAGCAATTAATAAGTTGAGTACTCATCTGCGAAATTTTTAATTAAAGATTTTTCGGATCAAATTGACGTAAAGCAGATTATTCAGCTTTTCAACATCATAACTTTTAAGAAGCAGATATATGACATGATTATATTACAAATTTTTGATTTTTACTGGAAACTTTGTATTCAAAGGAAAAGTAGTGCGATACGGTCATTTTTCATGTCATACTTTTTTAGCGAAAAAATCACATGGTTGTAGGCCTTTGTTGCTGGAGGATAAAACGTTAGACGCATTTTATTTTCCTAGCGGAAAGTAGAAGCAATGGAGGTAATTTCCGTTGGAACGTGATAAAAATTCTACTTTTCGTTAGAAAACTAATTTGACTATAACTTTTTTTCCTACACAGCTAGAAAACTGCGGCTTTCACCATAAAAAATGGAATCAGCGTCCAAAACTACATCGAGTAAGCTGTATCTCATCGCTGACACCCAAAGTCGACGTATTGGTGGTTTCTATTTTACGTATTTTTCCCTAACATATGTACGTATTTTCAATTTTTAACCGTGTTAGACAACTTTCTTTCCGATTTTCAGGTCATATTCGGATAGGGCGTAAAAACTGAGTCGAGCCACGTATTTCACTCATGGGATCAAAACCTTGTTTTCCCGTAATATTAGATCGAAATGCCTAAAAAACGATATTTTTCGCCGTTTTTTCAGTTTTTGACCTGGAAAAAATACTGAATCGTGTTTTAATTTTTTATTTTGACATATTTATAGAGAGAAAAATCGATTCTGAGCAGGACTCATTGTGTTTCGGATTTTTGAAACACGTTAGTGAGTCGGCTGACGACGAAAAGTTAACGATGGTCGAAAATACCATCAGTTAAAAAAAGTGATTTGGTAAATGCTACTAACGTTTTAGCGTTAAATCAAGCTGATAGTCGTAATCAGCGCGAAATTATGCGTTGGATAATGTATCTTTGATTGAAGTTTAAGATACCAAAATTTTCGACATGAAAAATGACCTTACCGGCACTTCTCCTTCATGTCAATCTAAAACGCACAATGTGAACCTATTTCTTTTCCATTTAAAGCTGTGTGTATATACGTACTTGTGTTGAGCTTGTTGACTAACATGCATTACTAAGTGACCTTATATGTGATGTATGTCTTGAAAAGCGTTCTTCGATGAACGTATCTATTTTCCCTACATACTCCTCTACTGCAAACACTTTCGCCTTGCGAAAATTTGTGAAAAACTTGAGCACTGGGGAAATGTTACCAGCGTTGAAAACATGAATTTTCTCTGAGATCTTCGGTTCAGACCATAATCTTTAAGATATTCGTCGTGGTTCATTCATTCGTAGAATCACTTTTGATTCAAAAAGAAGGTTCAATGTACTCAAAATATCCGAGTTGTTTCAGATATGTTGACCGTATAGACAGTTTTACCAGCAGGTTTTTCCAATAATATATGACTCAAACCAAAACGTTTTGCAAAAGATTAATCGGTGGTGTCAGAATGATCACCCACTATTTAAAATCAAAAAATATAAACTTTCATTTTTTGGTTAAAGGTCTGCGTCGTTGTCCAATACGTTCCACCCACAAGGTATATAATAAAATATATTGGCTGTTACAAGCTAAACATTGTGCAATATTGATGTTGCAGTCTTCCCCATAGAAGGAGTTCAGTAATTGTCAGCTATTATCAATTGTCTTCGGGATTCAGACTTATCCAACTGATAAGCTAAAAAGAACACGTTTCAATCCGTACTCTCACATAGAAACATCTGAGTATATGTACGTTGAGTGTATCGTAGTCAATTTCCTTTAAATAACGGGTGTCCTAGAATAAATTGCACTAAACCTTAGGGCATTTTTCTCTCATTTCCTACTTATAAAAAAAATTCCTATATATACTAAACGATAGATAATTTAATTCTCTACAAGATTGTATATTTATTTTTAAGATTCATTTTTGATGTTTGGCACAGTAACTCTAACAAGAAAAGCTCCAAATTTTTTAACAGCAACTTCAAAAAATAGATTTTTTGCGCAAAACTTCGCTAAAAATCACTTATTCAACAAAACAAGATATACCAAAAACTTCAGTAAGAAATTTTCTACAATATGATACGCTTTTTAATGAGAAATAATGATTTTTTAGGTGAAATCGGAGCGAAAAAGGGTCTTTGAAAAAGGCCATTTCTCTTCTGTTTTTCGGTCATCTTAGTGACATCCAGTATTTCCTAGTTTTTCAGGTGAAAGAAAAGTAATGGGTTGATTTATAAGTTACACAGTTTAATAAAGCGTGAACTTCTGCATTTTTTGGTCAATAAACTAATGATTTGAACTTTGGATTTTATACTGAAATAGTCAAAACGTTTCTTTTTAGTGCTGGAAACTTCGGTTGACTTGGAAGTTTATGTATTAAAGCCCCTAGCAGTTGAAATAAATTAACTTCAAGTAAACCCTTTTGTAAAGCATGAAATTCTAGAAAAATTATATGAATTTGCTTTAGGTCATTATCTAGAAAAACAAAGTCTTACTGGGCACATTTTTTGAGGGACGTACAAGTGATATGGACGAGTGACAAGGTTAAATAATGTTCCGTTGCAATAGACGATGTTTATTCCTAAAAAAATTATCTCTCGCTCTTTATTAATTATCTCTCTAAATTATCTCTCTCGACTATGAATAAGATTTATAGGATTCGTACTCAATTCTTGTTTTATTTACTTGTTGTAGCGTCTGATAACGGTGAGTCTACTATTGATTTGTAGATAAATGCATATAATTCATTATTCGATACATTCATATATAGTCCTATGTGGATTTTTCGTATTCTTGAACGAAAGACTTTATCTTAAAACTGATCAATCAATCATACCTTTAAATTAGAAATTTCTTTCCGTTTTCATCTTCAGCTATTTCGATTGAGAGAGAGTGAGGTATAGTATGAAGTTAGGTAGATATTTAGCAAAAAACTGAAAGAGAGATTTTTATCAATTATGAATTATTAAATTTCACCATTGAGATTATGTATCGTCGTGAAATATTCAAATTCAACTAGGCAATGTGTAGTAGACAAATGATCGAAGAAAAAGTATTCTAAAACGCAATTGCATTTTTTTAAATTTATTTTAATCTTTTAATGGAATTTTAAGCTTTAAACGGTTTATATGCTGATTAAAAGAACTTTGAAATAGCATACTGAGAAAAATTTTCTTAGATTTCTTGCGACAAATTGTTATTCACTGATATGGAATTTCTCAAACTTTTATAACAGCCAATTTTGTTCAAGTTATGCGCAGAAGAGATCTTGAGTTAATTCTATCAACGATTTTGGCATCAAGTGTCATAAGTCTCAGAACAGATTACTTTAAATCTAAAATTTTTTCATGTAAAACCCTTTTTATTTTATAGAAAAAGTATTTTCAATCAAAAGAAATAATAGATTCTGATCAGCTCATTGAAATTATACCCATTTTCTCTTGAACAATTGTAAGAATCGTCTGATTCTACTGAGAAAATTATTAGCAAATTTATGCCGCCCCACAACACACCGATTTGTGTCTTTTTATTTAAAAAATCTACACTACTGTTTCTAACTAAAAAAAACAAGGTCTGTATGCGTGTATGAGGCACTAGACCGTAACAACATTATATGATAATAACGAAATAAAGTAGCACCGTAAGAAAAAGTGCTTTTGAAGAAAATATTATTATCAGAAATATCTATAAATAAACAAAAGAGTACAAGTATTTAACTTTTTTTACAGCAGGCATGATTGACTATGGGAACATTATTAAGGTATGTAGTCATATCAATCAGAATAATGACTGTAGTTATGGAAAAAACGTGGAAAATCATCAAATAAATCACTTATCATACCCCTTCCTTCTCAAAAAGGAAGAAAAAAGAGTTTAAAAAAGCAGAAAAAAGGTGTAGTACTAATAGATTAACATCAGTTATTCTCAATAGCCCAATTAAGAAAATAAATCAATATAAGTACACTTGTTTCATATAACCTATTAGTGTTTACATCTTACAGCACACCACAGCAAAAAGATTACAACACACTATTGGAACGATTGCCAAGAGATCAAATACTAGTGAAAGAGTATGATGTGCTTACAAAACATCCAGATTTCCTATCACATTTATCTATACCAGACGTTGTACGTATATCGAGGATAGACAATCAAGCCACATACGACGATACATTCAATAACAACGATCCAACACAAGTAAGGGCTAAGATTGCAAACTCCTCTTGTGGTACCTTGTGACACATTTTTCTTTATTAGTTCATACCTAACCGTTCGCAAACTCCAATACAAGATGAGTCTAACAATGCCTCGTCTAATGTTGTTAATTCACAATTGATTTCAAACGAATCAAAACACCCATCCTCCCCTCCACATCTGCAGCAGCAGGCCAAAAAACCTCACCTACGAAATAATTTTAAAAGAACGTTGCGACCATCAAATTCGATGTCATTTCGAGATGGGAATACTACTGTCTTAGCTCGTTCTTCCTTCAACATAAGACGTGCTCAATATGGTGCAGGTACATTTAACCATGGTCGTACAATAATAAATCGAAATGGTGAACAATATATCGAAGATATGAATGAACGTATTGATCGACGTTTTGTTCGATCTATTGATAATAATGGAGTAAAAAGATATTATGAAGTAATCGATATAATACCGACAAAAACTGTTCGACGGTATAAACAGTCACATGGACAAAATACTTTGAAATCAACGAAGTACGATCAATCTGAAAGACCAGTACGGATAAATAGTTTTCGACAATCAGTTCAATCACCACTTTTAGATTTTACGGGCATGGATAATCCACAGCACATAAATGATGAATATCATCGCTATCTACAGACATTCAATGAAACCAATAATGTGACTAACCTAACTTCACAAGAACATTCACTTTTGACAAATGATTCATCTTCGATGAACACTGCCGACGTATCGAGTAATACTTCTGTTCCAAATGACAATTATTTTCGTAGACGCAAACCGCCCAAAGCGAGTGTCACGAGTAGTTCAAAAACAAAAATGTTTTATAATAATAATATACCACCAGCAGATATTAATCGAAAAACTAGTGATTCTGTCTCTGCGAGTTCTTCACAAGAAAGTAAAGAAAATAAAAAATCAGATCGTAAGCTACATGTTTGTATATTGTTGTTTCGCGAGTAACTAGACTAAATTTTTTTTCTGTCATTTAGAGTCAAGCATTGATTCAATAATTCAATCAACTAACGTTCCCAAGAAAAGAACGGTTGAAAATCTACCTGATACGCAATTCCGAGACTATAATTCTATCGTTTTTCCAAAAGACAATGTCCATTATAAATCAAGTGCTCTGTATAGCAATAATCCGATAAATACTTATGGAACTAGAAAAAATCACGGTTTCTACACAAACGCTACTCAATATACACCTCTTACACGACCATTCACGTCACTCAAAATTAGTAAGAAATTTTAAAATATAAAATGACTTTAAAATATAAAAATTTAAACAGTTGATATCTGTAGTACAACCGGGTGGTATACTGCACTTCTTCTCTCTTACCTAGCATCTGTTTCGTTAACGTGTAAAATTCTATTCTAAGAAGACAAGTGAAGAATATTGTACATAATGGACTTAAAAAACAAAAGAGAACATCCGTTCCTTAGTCTTGATAAATATCTTCAACTTAAATAATTTCTTTTCAATATTATCTTAATGATTGTGTCCTTCAAACTTTATGAATAAGTATTGATTTCTTTTTAGGTCCTGTCAATAATAATCAATATGTACGGAGTGCACAAAGCGATCCACGTGCAATTATTAATAATATAACGTATATATAGACTCTACCTGGAGAGTATACCTATTTTAATTTCAACAAAATATGTTTATGTCATAAATTAATATAAATTGTACAAATGAATTTATCTTTTTGAATATATAAGAGAAAAAACTGATTCAAACTTAAAAATAAATCCTAGCCAGGGGCACCCTGATAAGGGGGAGGAGAGGAGGGAACCTCCCCTGCTTTTTGAAAAAATTTACTCCGAAATCAGGATTTTCTTACTCCGAAAATTAGGTCTTTGACTTACAAGAATTTCCCACGGAGTAAAACGTTTTACTAGTATTTTCGGAGTCAGACAATTACTCTCAGTTTCGAAGTAAAGCGCTTATTCCCATTTCCAGAGTAAAGCGTTTACTCTCAATTTTGCAGTAAGATATTTATTCCCATTTTGAGAGTAAAAGGCTTACTCTCAGTTTCGTAGTTCGGAATTTACTCTCTTTTCAAAAGTAATTTATTTACTTCTATTTTCGGAGTAAGACATAGACATCCATTTTTAGAGTAAAGCATTTGTTTTTTCTCTTTCTGTGTTTGATAAAAGGTAAAATTTCTGTCATGTACATAAATAAGACAAGATAAATAGAATAGCAACTGTATCATGGCTTCTGTAAATGTATTTTTATATTATAAGGCTTTGTGTTGAAGTAAATAGAGTTAGACAGAAGGAAATTCAGTCTTGCTTTAGAAAAAAACTGCTTAGAATATTTATCCTTTTACTCCAATTTTTAACAATATAAAAATTTACTCCGAAATCGACTTCGTGTAGATAAAGTGTAAATTCTCAATTAGTTTTTATTGTGGTATTCTTCACTCTTAATCATGACAAAAATAACAAGAATGAAAAAAAGACATCATAATTTCATAATTTTTGTACAGTATAAAACAGGAGTATATACAAGTTATCTGAGTGATTGCACTAAACAAAAATGAATATAAAATACATTTAGAATTGAAAAGAAAAAGTTATGATCGACTTTTCTTCGCTATGGGAGGCGCTGTCGGTGTTAACGGGACTGGTTGATGCATTATAGTCGTCGTTGCTTCATGTCCACGTTTGCTGGCTAAAACTTGTTTTACTTTGTTACCACCATCATTTTGTACACGTTGTTCATTTTCAATTTCATCATTAATCTTTTTTCGTTCAGCGCGAGCAGTTTCATCAAGCCATTCAATTAGAATTGAATCACGTGGATGTTTGTTTTCACCACCCGAACTATGGCTATTTGAATTATGACTTGACTTTCTTGAACGTCCACGTGATAATAAATTATGATGATGAGGTAGTTTTGTTTTTGTTTGTAACAGATCGTCTGTGGTCGTTGTGATAATTTCTATACGAGCATTATTATTTGTTGTTGGTGTCGTACTCATTAATTTTGCTACAGATGACTGTAAATCATTTAAAAGTTGTTCAGAAAATGCAGCATCATCATCTTTTTGCTCAACATTTAAATGTGATATTTCTTGTTCTTCTTTTACGTTCGTCATCTGCATGAATGATGGTTTTTCTTCCAACGGCAAATTTGGTGTGGATGGTATTTGGGAAGAACAAGGATTCACTGATAGTTTGGTACGAGGATCATTCGATCGTGCTTTTGGTATCGGTCTTGGTGTTGCGATATTGACTGAACGTTTTGAATAGGTAGTTGGTGTACGATTTGATGCATTAGGCAGCCGTTGTGTGGTAGGTGTTTGAAACAATGTTGTTGTCGTTGTTGTTGTATTTGACAGTGTTGTTGATGTCGATGGGACGTCATCGTTGCACACTTGTGCTTCATTTTGACAAAACGTCTAGAAAAATATAAAAGACGAAAAATATAAAAAACAGCAAAAGACCTGCCGATTTTTTGATTGCCATAAATTTTTGATTAAAACAAGGCATCTCCCAGCTCTACACGACCTTTCTTTGCAAAGTTATAGAGTTTACAAGAAAAGCCCTAAATGTTCATTGTTACCTCGGAGGTACAGAAAGAAAAAGGAAAAATGAATTGAAGGCTTTTCTTGTAAATTCTATAACTTTGCAAAGAAAGATCGTGTAGAGCTGGGAGATGCCTTGTTTTAATCAAAAATTTATGGACTACAATTACGCCTCATTAAGAAAGAAAGCTTTTGGTTGTTCTTTAGAGTTTCTCGAAAACTGGTCTTTGAAGGCCTGGCAGCAGCAGTCATGGTGATATTCGGAATCAGCATCGTCGACTACCTATAGTCCACTAGGTTTCGTTCAAAAAGCGTTTTATCAGTTGGGTACTTTCCTCGTTAGTGGTGAAATCAAATTTTTATGAGATTAGAGATTTACGAGAAGTATATTATAAAAACAAACAAATTTTACCAGTGATCGATTTGGATCATAACTACATAGATACAAATTTTCAGGTACACGTTGTCCCGCTTCTTCGCACTAAAAAAGAATATTAACAATTGATGAAATTTTACAAAAATGAGAGTACATGCTGTCGTAATAGACAGAGACGTGTGTGTCATCTGAAAATAAAATCTGTAATTAAAAGAGATCTATATGAATCTAAACTTACTGCTTGTAGCCAGTGTGGTGAAACACAAAATGCCTTATATTCTTCGGCTTTTTTATGTTCTTTTTGTATTTCAGATAATTTTCCCTACAACAGACATTTAAATCACTTTAATAACGATATGTAATAAAAAAATTTATATTTTTCACCTGAAATACAAGATGTGTAAATTTTTCATCAGGTATCCATACGAATTTACCACCAAGGGCGGTACATTGTGCATGCAAACTGAATTTATTTCTTGCTAATTTTTTACTAACGTAAATAATAATATTTTGCAATGGTTTTTTACTATTTTCCTAAATAAAAATGAAATCAATGCAGAGACATTCTTTAGCAAAACATATTAGTTAAAATTACCGTTTGACATTTATCCGTAATTTGTCTGTTATCGATATTGTAAAATTGAAACTGTGAATCAGGTGATGCATTTCCATTGTTATTACCATTACCATTTTCTGTATTCATATCTTTTAATTTTTCAATTGCTTGACGAATTGCTCGTTGACCAACGACATTCAATCTGAAGAATGAAGAAAAGGGAAAATAAAGTTATTTATCTGAAAAAAATACCTAGCTTACGGCGTCAATGGTTCCGGTAGTGGTGCTCTTTTTTTGTCTGGTGGCGTTTCTAGACTATCCCGATAAGCCTATACGAGAAATGGATCATAAATAGCAGCTACAAATTAAAAAGAGTATCTCATTTTTCATACTCGCAAATATTTTCGCCATGGTTCATCACACGACGATGGTTCCGTGAGAACATCATGAGTTGTAGTCGCCACGGGTGTTAGAGATATATTGTTAGAAGCATCATTTCCGCCTTCCGAATGTTTTGATCTTCGTTCGGTACGTGGTGTGACAGTTGTCGTATTATTTGTTTGTTCAGCATCGGTCGGTGCTTGTTGCGAGAGAGTGTCACATGTTTCTTGTTGTTGTTGTTCATTGAACATATCTTTCTGCTGTTGACGATGATTATTAACAAATTCGATTGCTTTCTCTTTTGTCCATTGTTTAACCTGATAATCTTGTTCATTTGTTTTTTGTCCATTTAAACAAATATAGAATAGCCATTCGGATACGACTGCTGGAATATTCCAATTTATTGCTGCCTGATATTTTTGTCCATCCGGTTCTTTTGATATCAAATGCGTACTACCCTTGTATGTTTTGACATCTTTTCGTACAAATGCATCTTGAATATGAGCACCTAACACCTGTTGGCAAAGATATGTCAAACCATTTTTTTCCATACCGTTAAAACCACTAATTGAAATAACACAATCGTTTAATTGAAATTCTTTTTCTCGAACTTTGTCATTTAAACAAAATGGTCGATAAAGAAAATGTGTATCCAATAATAACAGTTGTTTTGATTCAACACATAAAAATATCCAATAATTTGTCACCATTTTTTCGTACTGGATATCTCCAATTGATAATTTATCATATGATGATAATGTTAATGGATATATACAATAATCGAACGATTCATGTTGATCTTCGCATACACACCCGCCATTATCCACAATTGTTTTATGAAGCAAATCGATATCATGTTTTTGACTAAAATTTAACATAGTAAATGATAAATTAGCAAATATTTTTGATGTGGTTGTGGTTGATGTCATTGAATGTATCTGTTTCATCGTTGCTCGTGTAGCTGAAAAAGAGAGTAGTTGATTCTTTGGATAACTGACGATTGCATTTGTTTTATACTGACCGGTATCGGTTGTATCAGTCTGAACTGTTTTGTTTGGCGGTAAAGTTTTTTTTGTTGTAACAGTAATTTTTGAATTTGTAGTAGAGGACGGTTGTAAAGCTGATTGAGTACGTTGTGTTTGAATGGTTGTTGTTATCAATGTGACTGTTGTTGGATAAAGATTACTATCCATTGCTAATGTGTCAGATGAATTATCATAGGGACATATTGAACTTAAACTAATATCATTTGTGTTTAAGTGTTTCATAAGACGATTTTGATCTAGAATATATATTGTAAAAAAATTTCATGCAAAACAAGTAACGAAAAATACCTACTATTGAGACTTGAATTTGGTGTCGATGTTTTCAAACGTTCGTCATCGGTAACAATATAATCTTTTTCATTCATAAATTGTTTTTTTAAAACTGAATCAAACAACCATTGACATTTTACAATCCGAAGATGACGTTGTTTGGCAAATGTATATTTTTCACCTAAAATAAACCATTAATGGTAAAGATCCTCATCATCTAAAGTAGTTAGGGAGTAATGATCACTGTTGAAATCGCGTATCTTTTGAAACAGTAGCCAGATACTAACTCAAACTATTGCAAGAAACAAAATCAAATGCAAAGTGTAAAAGATGCAAAGACAATTTCGTTACCAATGCCAAACTCTTCTTCAAAAATTCAGTTTTCAAAAAAATCTTATATTACTCTTATGTTTGAACTAATGAGATAGCAAATTAGTTTTTATTATTATTTTACCCTCTGGTTTTTCACATAGCAGATGTGTACAATCGCCCGTTAAATGTGGCGTGAATTTTCCACCTGAAATGGATAACATTTTTGCTTTAATAAAGGATGTTGTACGCCAAGTTCATTCTATCCACTTACCATTTTGTTCTATTTTTGATTGAATAGTTAAACGATCTTCGCTGGATATTCCTGTTGTTGTGAATAAGAGATTTTTGAATAACGGACATTTATATTTATTAAATTGTTCATCTTGAGCCCAACATATTCTACAAAATATTTAATAACAAACTGTGCGAGAGAGTCAGCAGCATTTTTGACTTTTCTTGCGTCAGAAACTCTTTTTCTCAGGCACCGCTTTCTGTTGTCTCAAATATGCCTTGCCAGAAAACAACAAGATTTACAATGATTTTTCCTCTCGGAATGACAAAATACATTTTACCTGTCAAATGAGCATTGGGATAAACTGTGCACCAAAGTATAGAAAAGGGTGCGCATCCAAATAGCGAAGACAATCGTCAGTTCTGTCAAATCATGACAACAAAAATCAAACAAGAGCTCGGTACTTTTTGCTGACTTTCACAAACACTGTTTTCTAAAATTTCAGCTCATGTCAGATGATGTAAAAGTTCTGCTAGATAGTTCGATATGTGAGACACTATTTATCACTTTCGAAAGCACAGATGCACAATCATCTGAAACTCATGGACGATTCAATTCGTTAATGCAATGGAACAGTAAGTACACATTTTCAATCGAAATCAGATAAGGCGATTTCGAATTCTCGAGTCTCCAACACTGAACATTACTGGAATCAAAATTCTGAAATATGCGTTTTATCGCATCATTATAATACTGCTTTTTTGGTGTTTGGCGTGATCACACAAGAAAGAAAAAACTATTCATTACTTTTTTCGACACATATTCCAAACTTCGACAATCCAATCCGATGTATACACGGGAATATTACGTTCGACAGCAGCCTAGAATCATAATACAGTTGAACACATATCAAACAAGAACAAATCGTATTACTGACTAAATATTTTTCCGTTCCACTGATGTCACACACAAGATGCGTCGTAATTTCAACAAACTGATTATCTGTTCTACCACCCATTAACTGAATTTTTTGAAATATATCGTCCTAAAATGAAAATAATAAAAAATATTGTGCGCTAAATTATCACCCGTAAGATACGATACATACTCGAATTTGTTTTTTAACACCACTACTCGTAATAAACATATTTCTCATTGAGACAGCATAAATCGGATAATTTACAACTGGTATGCTTGTATCAGAAGACAGAGACCCCAAAATACAGGGTGGACCAAATAGGCTGAAAAATGTAAAACACGATGGTGACTCACATATAAAGAAAAAAACTCACAGATGCACACGTACTGTACTCCGATATTTTTTAAATGTTCAAATATTGGACCTTGAAACGGTTCAATAATATAAAAATTATCTGTTGATGGCAAGGTTTGAAATATTTCTTCTTCACTAATCCAGCTAACATTCAAGTTTTCATCCAATAATTTCTAAAATTAATCGTAAAAAAAAGGATCGAGTATTGTTTAATATAACTGAACAATCCCTACTTACTTGATAAACAAGTTCTAAATTTGATTGTTGATCATGAGAATGTTGAACATTAGGCTTGAGAACAAATAAATGACTCATTTTCAATATAAAATAAACAAAATGACGAAGTTCAATAAATTTTACAGGTTTCGAATGAGAAATATTGAAAACATGTAGATTACACTAACAAAGTTTGTGACACTCTAGTAAGTGAGGTGTTAATTAACTGTCAGAAAGAGTATAATCATCATTCTTCATCGTGTTTCACACAATACACTAACAGATGCACAAGAATACTTTTAGAAAGAGTATTTTTCTTATGGGTTTGATCACAGTTAAAACAAAAAAATTACTGAATTTTTTTGACTAAAATATAAAAAAGATAGAATATAAAGAATCTAACACTAATAAATAAATGTTTTAAATTTAGATGTGCATATTTAGAGGAGAAAAACATATAAATGTATTGATCATTCGCAAAAGAAGTGCAATGTGATAAATAAAAAAAAATAAGAAACAAAGCGGCAAACAAGAATGAAAAAAACAATAAGCGTTTTAATAATTACTCTGAAGTTCTCTTCGAAATTGAGCAGAGTGATTATCATTTGTTTTTTAAAGGCACATCTAAACATATCAACGAATTTTTTTATCACAATTTGTTGATTAAACTTTGAAAATAATATATGATACTAGATAATTATATTCTTTCCTCTCTCGTAATAGTGTTACACTTAGTAAAATAACAATATTTTTCGATACTAAAATAGAAGAAAATTAAAAAAAATGGATAGACTCATGGTGTGAGTATTGTTCATTGAGAAAGTTCTTCTGAATTAGGACTTCATCAGTTAGTTTTCAGCATTTTCTCAGTCTCTCAGCCACTAACAGAATTTTTCGTAAACGATTTCAATATCGAAAGCGTACGTCTAGTGCAAAAGTGATACGATCGAGAACAACTTACCCGATTGTACATGCTTGCTATAGATTATGATATAATTTTTGTAGTGTCCAGTGTATGTGACAACAAAAGGCCTCATAGTAGAATACCAATCGTGAGCGGTATGTGTGTGCTGAGTAGAAGAAAAAAACGAAGACAATAATTTCTCTGAAATCTTAAGTTGAACAATTTTTTACTCACTATACAGTGATCTAAAGTCGGTGAGATAATTTTGTTGAATTCAGCTATAAATATACTTTTTCAATTAAAAAAAATAAAGTTAAAAAAACTCAAGTGTCGTTCTATACCAGATAAATTCATTTATCATTTCCATTAGATACATCGACACGCAAGAGCAGCATGCATAGAACGGCTTGTTTTTTTGTACCGACTATCGCAGTATGTCATCTTTAGTATTTATACCAATATAATAACAAATAATGATACAAATTGAGAAATACACCATTCGAAGATACTTTATCGGTTAACAAACCCACACATAGTGAAATTTGTATTTTTTTATCATAATCGAAAGACAGTTCATATATGACTTCAAAATTTGTTATCCATAACAATAAGCCAGAAAAGACCATGATAATTGATTGACACTGATTCCTCTTTTTCGAAAGTGAGAATGACAATTTTCTAGAATGCTACAGAGAAGCCTGTTAAGAATAAGAAGATTCACATGCTTTTCTAATACTTTCCGAAGAAAATAAATTGAAATAAGAGTCAGGCAAAAGTAATCACACTATGTTTTTAGAAATAGGTTAGAAAAAAACCCCACAAAATTAGTAATATTCAAAGTTTATCTTTTCCCATCTTTTAAAAAACAATGACAACAATAAGCCGTCGACAAAGTAGAAAAAGGTACAAAAAAAAACAAGAACGATTATTTACTGTTAAATTTACAATGAAGAACATCTTAACTATGTATGAAAAGAAAAATGCATCAAATTATTGTAAGTAGTTCATTATTCGGCAACAAGAACTCTTTCGCGTGTAGTAGGAGTTTTTTGTTTTATTGGTCGTTCTCTTTGATCTAAAATAATAGAATTAATTATAATATTGATTATGTATATATAGCCGATAATTCGAAACGGATCATACCTTCACGTATGAGTGAATGCGTTGGAACATCTGGTAAATGAATAGTTTCGTTTCCTGTTTCTTCCTTCAAAAACAAAAATATATTAAAACGAGTTAAAAAATTATCAAATTTAGAAATTGATTAATGACGACGTACCCTTATCATTTCTTCTAATTCAGCTAGCACCTCGCGTTCATCTGTATGACTCAAATTACCAGATAAAGCGTTTGTTACTTCCTGTAAAAGAAATAAAATAGTTGATAGTGATCTTGTCTCTCTCTCTCTCTTTCTCTCACTTCAATGGCATGACCAAAGTTACAATTTACTTACTTCTTGATATTCAACTGCCTCTCGTGTATCTTCCATTAATTTTTCTACATCTTCTAATTTCAACATTTCGTTCATTTTCTTCAAAGCATCTGTTCCTTGTCTTAAACGATTTACAACATCAACTTCGACTTGAGCAAATTCTAATTCATTTATCTACAAAAATGAAAAAAAAAAATTTTTTTTTGTTTACTATCAAAGTTTTAAAGATTAATGAATACATACTAATTGTTCAACATTATTGAGTATGCCTTCGGACTTGTCCAATTGCGCTTCGAGCATACGTTTTTTTCGTAATAATAATAGTGCACGACTAAAAATTAAAATAGTATAACAAAAAAAAGTTATATGATCTCCACGAAGCTATTTATACTCTTTTCTGCCATTTTTAATCAGTTCTATGGCAATTTCACGTTCTTTTTCAAGTTGAGTTTCGACACGTCGTTTATATTGTTTCAAACGATCACGTTGTTGTTTCAATTGCTAAATAAAACATATCAAAATAATTCTCGTACTCATTTTCTAGAAAAAGAAGCCTGCTAAGATAATTAGAGGCAAAAACAAGAAGACTAAGCTATGTTTTATAATAGTTAATACTGACAGTTATCAGACATGCTTTATTGTATTTTTATTTACAAAGTGTATTCTAAAAAAATAAACTAAAATTAAAGCATCAAATAACGATCACAGTTTTTTTGTATTTTCTATTTGATATAGAGAAAAATAGACCAAAACAGTAAAACAAGAAAAAAAGTATTATAAAATCCAAAAATACTCAACTGTAACGTTGAACAAAATTAAAATCATAATAAGGACGGAATTAATGAATGGCTCTTAAACGTTACAAATATATGACAAAATAAAAGATTTCATTCCAAATAAAGTTTAGATAAATAAACAGTGTCCCAACTTAGTAAACGAGAAAATTGCCGCTGTACCATCCACTTGCAAAAGCTACGTTTATCTAGCGACAAGATCGTTGAAATCTTGTTTTAACTGAAGTGATCGCTGCTGTATCGATCGATTAATTGACACACAGTTAGCTTCATCCAATTAAAACTAGATTCAATTTAGAGAAATGTATCGTTAATCTACATTAAGTGTCTGTTACACAGTGTTTTTTGTTCATGGAATGCATAAAAAGAATATTAAAAATTTTTTCATTCAAAAAATAGGCAAATATTGTCAATTGTGTCGAAAAATAAAGAAACAAATTTCGCCATTTAAACACTCCGAGAAAAAGAAAGGACCTGTATGATAGTTGTTGTTCATAAAATGATAGTTAAACCTTTTCTCTGATATAAAAATATAGGTAGCTTAAAAAAACACCATATACTATCAAAGTTAACATTGGCAAGAAAACATTCTATTGGTAAATTTAGTAGGATAGGATATTAAAAATGATTATCGGCCATATTATTAATTTGTTGCTGGTTTTCTTCTCCCTCTACAATATATTGTTCTGAACGATTTTGTTGTTGAAAATAATTATCAAAATCAGTAAATAATAATTTTGGTTTATTCATTAACGTTTGTTCTAATTGACTTAATACTTGTTGAGTATATTCAATTGTTAAAATTCGAGTTTTCCATTGAAGATAAAAACTGAGAAAGAGAGCAATAAACAAATTTCCAATTGTATCTGTTATATTTTCACATTTTTTATGCATATGTTTTAATTTTATTCGTTGTGTTTTTTGTCGAAGAAATTTAATTAATAAATTAGCCAAATTAATTCCAATTAAACAAAATGGAAATTGTTGTTTTGATGTTAATGATAGGAGATAAATTTGTGTGGCCAATGGTAAATACATTGAATCAACAAAATAAAGTAACATAAGTAATGAAAAGAGACCGGATGAACGAAAATCTGTTTCAGGATGGTCTGTTTGAAATCCAATATCTTCCCAATGTTTTCCATGAACAGAATGATAAACATGATTTGATTTTGTTAAACGACGATAAATTGTAAACAATATACGAATATGAACACGATCGGTCATATCACATTTGTGTGATGCTAAATTTAATAATTGTAAACATTGTTCATCAAATGTATCAGCTGTTTTCTCAGCACTATTTTGCCTTCTAAATATATTCAATAAACGTGTAAAAAAGCCAACATGTTGTTTTATTTGTGGTGTGGATTTGGTGGCTATCTGACATGTAGAAAATAAATATGACTTAGCATCATTAAAAAATATATTATCAAATGACGCAATATTTGCCACGGATTGATGTAATATTTGATTATCACTACCTATAACATAAGTTGGTATATTTGACCATTCATCTTCAACAGTATACTCTTGTTGTGATTCTTTTTCGTTTAATGAAATATCATTTGAAAAAGACGTAGTTTGATTCGAATTGTCGATTGTAACATTTTTTTCGATGTTAGCAAAGAGTGCGGGTGGAGGAATAACATGTGTGCTAATGTGTGAATCGGATGATATTGTCGAAAATGAAAGTGTATGTTGATTAGCTGATCGATACAATGTTGAATCATTTTCTACGATCGCGATATTATTATTATTATTATTCTTATTTTCTCCATCATTCAAATTGAAAAAAATATCATTTAAATCAGCCGTAAATGTATCTTGATTAGTATTTGTGTCCATCCTTCTTTTTTTATTTTTTATATCTAAAATATTTTGTCGCTAAAATTGCAACTATATAAGCAATGAAAACTTAATATAACCGATCATTTTACATAGATAACAATTACACTCAACTATTAGAATGTCATAATAAAGATAAAAATTCTCACGGCTTACTAGAACAGCACGATCTTGCTCAGTGATTTTGGTTTGTTGTGGTTTTTTAGATTTTTTTGAAAATAAATTTCCCATTATTTAAAAACGATTTTAAAAGTAATGAAAAAATTTTAATTTACAATCATATTAATAATGCATTTTCGTCACGTAAGATTTAAAAATGAAGAAAATTAGAAAACTATCAGATATCTGAAATAGACAAGAGGATCTCGTTTTATATGACTCAACGTGTAGAAGAGAAAAAGATAAGATAACAAGACCATAGAGCAAGAATAAAATTTCGTAATGAAATGCAGTTCGTTCATTTTCAGTTTTTAATATATCAACTTACAATGAAAAGAAGGGATTTATTGTTGGTCAAATTAATTTCTTTTGCATTTTCGTAAACATTGTTCTGTTTTCGAAAAAAAACATGAAATAAAACAAAGAGCAGATTTACAGTTAATACTAGTCAAGTTTTCGGATTCTAATGTGCAAATATTTCCAAAAAGCAGCTGTATAGTTTTCCTCAAAAACAATGTGATAGTCTAAAACTTGGTACATCATTTATTTTACATTTTAATAAAAATTTGAATAATTTACGTAATTAAAACAAATACAAAAAAATATTAACAAATGAGTGTAACTAAAACATGTAATTAAGAAACGTATTCTAATAAATCGAGATGAATTGTTGGTACATATTTTAGAGCATTTGCATAAAAGACCATCTCATAAAAATGAAGTTCAATTTCACATAAAAACTAAGACATTTGGAAGGAAAATAGATTTTAGATTTCTCCAATATACTGGCAGTAACGAAACAGCAAACTACAGTTTTTGTTTACAAGTTATACATAGAAAAAAACGAGTTTAAAAATAGAAAAATGAATAGATTAACTGAAATCTAAACTAAACTTCTTTTTTCTACTCATACTGATTAGATAGATTTACCACATGTTAACATATGATTAAACCCAACTACTCCGATATCTTTTCGTATGTATAAGATAACTCTTTAATAAAATACAGATGGCTTTAACTTGTGACGCTAAATAATTTCTTGCATTCCTAATATTTGATTGTGAAAAGATCATTGGTAAAATTTTGTACTCTTTGTTTTCTGAACCATATCTGTCTGTAATAAAAGATCGTGCATTTGAACAATATCGGCTGATATTGGCATTTTTTTTAATATCGTTCACGATAACGTATTTTCAATTTTTTATTGTTGTTGTCAATGATGTTTAGAATTATCAATCATAATCAAATTTCTTTCCATCATTTTTGATATATAACTATTAACCTAAACATTGTCAAATAACTTATTACTATCACCACCTAGTGTATTACGCACCGATTTGAGCGTCTGAAAATAAAAAAGAACATCCAATGTAGAAGAGACCCTATTGTTGCACTATTTCACTCACTAAATCATTTCTTAATATATCTTTTACAATTTTTAATGTTTCAATAATGTCTTTTAGAAAACTTTCACATAAATCCATTTTAGTATCAAATGAAACATCACTTTTCTGAAAATCACTAAAAGCATGTTATAATTGATTAGTTGAGCTTTTCGATTTACCTTAATTGCATCTCCGAACGCTTCTTTATTCAAAAACAAATAATTGAACTTTATCGTTTCTAACTTCTATTTTACGATTTCTTCACATTATGTGAGTCATTGTTGCTGTTTGTTGTTGATGTATTTCACTTAAAAGTTAAACAAAAATATATTAGATCCATAAAAAGGAGTTATATGCGACTTACATCTAATATTCGTGTCATTTCAGGATTAATCTACAGTTGCTTTTATGAAATTTTCTCGAAAATTTTTTTCATACCGATATTGTTGATAATCTCGTATCTTAAACCTTGTTGTTGTTGACAACTACGAATTATACGAAGAACTGTAACGAAATATTCAGATAAAAATATCGATGACGAGTAGTGCTGTAGTTTTCTTACCTTCTAATTTTAATACGAGAGTGGTTTTGATGTTTCCATCTGATCGCCGCTAGCTTCAAAACAACTAGGAGTAGAAGAAAGGGCACTATTGATAGGGGACATAGATGTCTGAGATTGTGACATTTTGTATACTTGAATAAAAATAAATGAAAATTCATTGCTACATAAGACAATTAAAAAGTCCAGTATGCTCGAGGAGCATGCTTTGTTTAAATATCTGTATATACTAAAATCAGGAATCAACAGGTCAAAACGAACTTCTTTGAGAATTCAGAACAATTCTCATTTCTTGACCAAAGAGACAACAAATTTCAAATTTGGTCGTTAATCCAACATTTACACAAACCAACCGCGTGCCTAATCTAATATAACGTCAATAAATATTGGAAAACCAATCTTTTTCTTTTTAAGATGCCATTGAAAAAGATGTGTAGATAGTGGTGACATTTCACTATAGTGAGCGATTGAACAATTTTTTTTTGCAGGTCATAATGGATACTATTTTAGCCAATGGAAGACTTTGCAGAGTATTTGGATGAGACTATCTCTACAGTATACACCGCTTTTTCTTGTGTACTGTTCTAAATTTACACAACAAGGAAAAAGACTGAAATGGACAAGTGTACTGATTCAACAACTGTAGACTGCTTTTCATAATCGTTCAGTCGTGAGCAGTCAGTGCTATTGTGAACTTTTTTCCCAGAGAAAGTAAGTACAGATTTCCTGCATATTCCCGTTCATTTTGGCATGGTTTAGACACGTTATCATTTCAAACTCTGTTAATTACGTCTTAAGGTGCTACTATTTCGAAAATGTTGATAATGCAATGCGTTCATTCTTATTCAAATAATTAGATACGCATTTACATAAACACTGTTACAGTGTCTACACTCCTTTATTTAATATTTTTCATGGTTGAAATTTGTCAAATTGTGTAACATATGTTATTTTCCTGCACAGTTGGTAAACGCTGATACTCAAATAAGCGTTTTTTTTATAATTTCTGAATCAAGCTAAATAAAAAGAAGATTGGATAAGGTGAGTTTGATATCTCTTGCGGTTCTTTTCATTTGGTCTGTTATTTTTCATCTATAATTAGTTTAGTCATTTACACAATTGTGATTTACGTTTCTTGTTTAACTGAATAATGTTATCTGATCATTTATTTGTCGGCTCTGTCTTCCTATAGATAATCTTTACAGACAAAAGATAAGACTGGAAAACATTAAAGCTATTTGATTATGTATAATATTTATTAATTTAGTGAATGAACAACTTTTTGTTCTTTATACGGAAATAGTTTTCTTATTACAATAGTGTATACTAATTCTTTTAAATCATATTTTTCAATGATTTGATTTTATCAAGATGTTCTGATATTGTTTGTATAATTCCTAATTGGTCTTATTTGAAATGGATTGATGAAATAGAATGTATTTTACTAGTGGGATAGTTACTTAATCTTCTAGACACGTTCAATATATAATTGAATTCTATATGTGTATCAGTAACTGTGTAGTTTAATATTATTCTTTTGTATATATGTGTTCATAAAACCTTTTCAATAAGAACACAACACGCACTTCTATCTATGTGTAAGATCGACATTGTCCGTTATTTGTCTATTTGTCTGTTCGATTTAAATATGTATGGTAATTTAATACTCAGATAGATCTAGAAATGTTGCTGATATTCTAGATAGCGATTAGATACTATCTTGAGAGAAATCAGTGTTTTAGTCTATAGAAAAGAAAAAGAAAATTTTATTTGCTTGTTGTATGCAATATATGATTTCTATACTCAATCTTTGACGTATATTCAGAAATAAATTTGTTAGAATCTCATATTAACAATTATTGTAGTTTTGTTGTAGATGTAGCGATATTTGTTTCCCCCCCTCCCCACATACATTGGAAATAACATGACGTTTTGTATCTTTTATTTTTTTGTAAAAGATGTATGACTAATCACTATTACATAAAAAAATAATTTAATTTAGTGAAGTCTATTCATATGATTCGTGATGCATGGCATCACGAATCACATGAATATGCCATCAAAATTCTTTTATAATGAATAATATTCATTAGTCATCGACTATCTATTTTAAAAAAGAAAAATGTTAAGATTCTTATTCATATTGATAGAAAATAAAAACAAAATAGAAATAAATTTAACTATGCATTGATGAAAAACAAAAAAGAAGTTTTTCTAAAATTAAAACTTGTTTAATTAAAAAGTGTTGACGGATAAACCAATGATTTCGATCATAAGAAGTATAATAAAAAAAATGTATGTATACAGATAATAAATTGGATTAATTGGAAATGAAAAGTTTGTTTTTCTTTTTTAAGGTTACGATAATAGTATTTTTTTCTTGAAAAAATCTGATTGATGAAAAAAAAAAAATGGGTTACAAGACTTATTTATTAACTAATGAAGTGAACAATTTTTGTATGCATACGTTTGTCTATTATTAGAATGTATTGTTTGCCACATGGACAGGATACATGTGTCGACATGAGGTTAAAGGATAAAGGAAAGAGGAAAAAAAAAAAAGAAGAGAGAAAAGCTTGACCGTTTTTGACCGCAACTATGAGCAAACATTTTTTCTTTTTTCTTTCATGGTCAGTTCTACTAAATACTAAATTGGACCAGAATAACAGAATTAAACATTTTATATTTTTTTGTCGGGTTGATTTACTCTTGTTGTTTCTTTATATCGTTTTCATTTACATTAATTTATACGCATATACATACACACGCAGAATTCTATTTCCATATTGTTCATGTTCATTCGTACCACAGTGCACATCACCTTTTTCCTAAAATCATATACACACACATATATATATATATATATTATATTATATATATATATATATACATTTGCTCTCTGTACGGTATGTGTACAGATAACATAGAACGAACACAAAAAAGAGAAGAAAAAAAAAAGTCGAAGTTAACTTCTACGATGTTCATCATTTCTAAAAATAAAAGAGTAAAAGAAAATACATTAATTTTCGATATAGTCGTAAGTAGTATAATCAATGATATAGTTCTTAAGCTACGAGAGAAATGGCATGATAATTCCATATACTAGAAATGTTTGTTGATCTTATTAAGTATTTTAGAAACGAGATAGATATTGAACTTGTTTGATATGAATTATTTTTTTTTTAAAATAGTTTTTGTTAAAATTATTCAAAATTTTCTTCGTTTTGTTTATATATTGTTTTCATTTTTTTAGCGCATAGTGTCTGTCTATGGGATTTGTTGTTAAAGCAAAAAAGACATATATTTTGAAAGAAGATTAAAATTGATAGAAAGAAGAGCTAATTGATAATTTTTAAACGAAAAAAAATTTAGATTCAATATATTTTAGATTTTTAGAAAAATCGAATAGTTTAATCCGATTTTGTTTTAGTAAACTACGTAATGATCCACTTCTGATAGACATTGAATGAAAATTTCGGTTTATAAACAGTCTTTTACCACTTGTATGTAATTAAATTTAAATTAAAAAATTTTAAATATATTTTAGTATATGTATGTGTGTTCGAATCGTCTAAAAAAAGTAATAAAATCGGTTGATAGAATCAGACAAAACTAGAAATTAAAAATGGTAATTTTGTTTTTTCTTGAATGAATGAGAAAAGAATAAAAACGTTTAAAAGAACATCAATTTAATGTGGTTATTTAATAATTGAATAGATCGATATGAGTTAATTTTTAAAAAATCATACTTTTAATTAAGTAGATTTGTATATTTTTAATGAAATCAATTTATGTAGATGATGAAAACTTTTGTTTTGACTTGTGATATTTGTAATACAACATGACCTTTCAGAAAGTATCAGTAATACATTGTATTAACGGCACTTTCAAAGATGACGTTTCTATTCTATAATTTTATAACATTTGTATCGTTAATGAAGTCTCTTGTTGTACATTCGTCAATGTACCAATGAATTTGATAATAGAACTCGCTACTATGACCCGTATTATATTATAGGAGGTTAAGTTAAGCTCTTATTTCTTATTTTTTTTGATTGTAAACAATCAATCAAATCTTTATTTATATGTCATGGATGAAACGTGAGCTTTACTAAAAATTAGAGAACATCAGACCAAGGATGATTTGTAAATATTGTCTTGAAACTAAAGTAATCACATCGAACAACTGTTGGAGTGTGTTTGATTTCTTTCTTTTAAATTTTTAACTTATTGAAATTCAATTCTCTATAGGTTCTTACTTCTGCAGCAGGCGATATAAGAAGAAAAGATCTAAAACGACAATTTGATCTCATTTTCAGAGTTAGTTCTTGTAAGAAATGCTAACAAGTAATAGAATTCGTATATTGAAGGAATCGTGGGCAAAGAAATGATTAATAGTTTGATGGATTACGCGTTTTCTATAGAGCACTTGGTACTAAAAAATATCACGATTTCCATGGATTAAAGAAAGTATCTTTTTTCCTCGTATAATCTCTCTTTTTTTTTTCTTCTAATTATTATGATAGACATTATCTTACTTGTTTTCTGTACAAGTAAATTCTAAAATTTTTATTTTCCATTATATTCCACTTATACTTATCTGTTGATTGAAAGATACACTGTTGAAAATTAATTTAAGAATCAAAGTAGTTTACTTCTCTTGCTATTTGATTAACAAAATGCAGTAGACCACGTTGTTATATAAACGATTTATTTTTGCTGATGAAGTTTGTTGATGCTCAACGTGTGATCTTTTTTTTATTATTTTAGATATTTTGTTAGTCGTATTTTTTTTTTCTCTTTTTTACTAAAAAGATTAGACTATTAATATCACCAAAATATACGTCATTTACAAGTTATTGATTTTCTCGTACGAAAATGTTCAAATTTAAAATTGGCAGAAAACAGCCAGAAGATAACGAAGCAAGACGTCGATTACAAAAAGAACTATTTGGATTTAGCAAGGTAATTTAAACTAAATTTCAAACTAGTCTCTTCACTTTTATTAAAGATTCATTTTTTTGCTTTTTTTCTGTCGTGTATATGTGACAATTTTTTGTTGTTATTTTTTTGTTAGGTTTCTGATCGTGGATTCCCATCTTGTCCATCAGCTATTGCTTACGATGATCAATTACGATTAATTGCTATTGGAACACAAACTGGAGAAATTCGAATGTAAGTCATTTTTGTACTACAATTTGTACAATAGATCAATAAACGAATATTTTCAATTTAGTTATGGTCAACCGGGATTTCAGTTATCCTATAGTTTAGATGTAAATAATTCTTGTTCATGTAATATTCATCATTTACTATTTTTGAATGGTGTTGGACGTCTCATTATATTAACAACAGATGGTTATATTCATTTATTAGAAATAAATAATTATCATCCACATGGAACAGCAAGTAAAGATTCATCAACAGCAGCGAATATAACAACAGTGCGTTTAGATCGTATATGTACATCGAATGATGATAATTCAGCGTATTTAAAGCAAACACAAGCAGTATGTTTATTAAAAAATCATTTAAACTTATTAATTGGACTTGAAAATGGAGATATTATTTTGTTTAATATCGAAAATTTTTCACTTAATACCAAACCAATTGTGCCAAATGAAGTTTTAATGAAAAAGTAAGAATGTTACTATAGTTTTCTTCTATATGTACATGTATTTCTTCACTACTATTTAGTATACCTGAAAATTGTCATGGACGTGTTAGCAATACGGGACCAGTTCAATCAATTGTTCAGCATCCAACAAACGATGATAAAATATTAATTGGCTATAAAAACTGTTTAATTGTTCAATGGGATCTACCATCCAATAGTCATGACAGAATGTACGTTTATAAACAGGTAAATACAGAGAAAAATCCTTTTAGTTTTACTTAAATTTATGTTCACCATTTTTTTTAAAAGGAAATTGAATCTTTATGTTGGTATAATAAAGGATTAAATTTTGCGTCTTGTCATACAGATGGAAGTTATGCTTTATGGAATGCTAATGAAGACATTAACGCGTTAGAAAATGAGAAAAAACAATATGGTAAATACGACTACTCATGAAAGAAAAACTTTTATTACTAAAAATTTTTTTTTTGTCAACAATCACTTTCAAGTTTAGTTTCTTGTAAATTAACTTATCTAATTCTAGGTCCATATCCGTGTATGACCATGAAAAAAATTCTTGTTAAAATAATGCGAAAGTAAGTTTTTGATAAATGTTCAATGATTTTTCTAATTTTTCATTATCGAAATATTCTACTTTTTTCAGTGGTGATTCATTAATTATCTTTTCTGGTGGTTTACAACGTTCAGGATATTCAACGAAACATAGTGTTAGTTGTGTATGTGAAAATGAACATGAACACGAACACGATCATAGTGATCGACAACGACATGTTGCATTTGATTTTACAACGCCTGTTATTGATTTTTTTACAATTGATAAACCATCTTCAGATGGCTGTATGTTAAAACTATATGTCATGTTTGTTATATTATAGAAACGTATCTTTCTTTCTTTATTAGCACGTGATGATCCTCAATCACTCGTTATTCTATTAAAAGAAGAAATTGTATTTATTGATTTAATCACTGATAGTTGGCCATCCTATCGTTTGCCTTATTTAAACAGTATTCACGCTTGTCCTGTTATATGTACAACTCTAGTATGTAATATTAATCAACAATTTTATAAAAAATTAACAAATTATGGTAATGCTCAATGTGATGATTATTCAGATAGAGTAAGTTTAGTGTTTTATATGCATACATTTGTCATACTCTATTTTCATATTGATGTTGTTGCTTATAGAAATGGCCATTAACGGGTGGTGATATAAATAATTATACATCTAATTTTAATCTTAATAATACGTTAACAAATAGTTTGGATGATAGTTGTAGTAACAGACAAATATTATTGACAGGGTATGTTTTCTAGAATAGGTAGACTCTAATTTTAAAATATTTCATTTCTTTTATTAACTTTAGCCATGAGGATGGTTCAGTACAGTTTTGGGATGTGACCGACATTTCAATGCCATTATTATATAAATTAAAAACAAATGATTATTTTCTAATTGATCAACCACTGAATGATGATGGAGAGGAAGAAGAAACATGGCCACCCTTTCGAAAGGTATAAAAAAGAGAATTTGAAATAAATATCAACTTTTTTTTATTGTTGACGTATTTAGACCGGTTTTTTTGATCCATTTTGTGATGATGCACGACTAGCTATCCAAAAAATAGCATTATGTACAAATACTGACACATTAGTAGTAGCAGGACAAGCCGGTCAAATATTTACTTTCAATTTTTCAAACGAATCTGTTGATACAAGTATAACTGTATGTAGATCATGTCTATATGAGTGTGTGTACTCGATTATTCTATAAATTGTGTGTTATTATAGGCAACAAGGATTAATTTAATCGATGAAGGTTGTGAAAGTTATGTGTGGAAGGGACATGAAGAAATGAAAATAAAACAATGTCATGTACCTCCTGGTTTTGTTGCATCATCAATTGTACAACTATATCCACCAGCGTCTGTATCAGCATTAGCATTATGTTCAGATATACAAACGTACGTTTATAAAATAAATAGACTAATGGCTTATCTGAGACTAACCTTTTCATTTTGTAGTTATGCAGTGGGAACTGCACATGGTTTTACAATATTTAATTATAAACAAAATCGAATGTTGACGATGAAATGTACACTTGATCCAGCATGTACGTATATGAATAACATTAAATCGAAGATATTTTCTCAGTATCCGTTGTGATTTCTAGCATTGTCCTCTTCATCTGTCGTCCAAGCATCTGGTGAAACGTCGTTAAATCGAGGTCGTTCGTTAAAAAAATCCCTCCGTGAGTCATTTCGTCGTTTACGCAAAGGTCGAACTGTTAAAAAAACGATGATAGCTGTTAATAAACGAAACGAAACAACAGCAGCGTCATCACCGTTAGAAGAAGTATGCATTTTATCTCTAGTAACAGAACTTTTGCACACTCGACATTTTTTTCTGTCTAGAGAGTTCCAGTTGAACGTCAAGTGGAATTTCGTGAATTTAAACCAGTTGATGATCAAATTATAAGCATGGTTCGATGTCTTTATTTTGCACAAACACATCTGACAAGTGGTGAGCTGTTTTAAAAGATGATTTTTTTTAATTTTGTAAAAACTTACTTGTTTTATTAGTTAATTCTACCACGCGATCATTGTGGGCTGGTACTAATGGTGGTCACGTTTATGTTTATTCCATTGTGAGTGGTGATGCACAGGCGACATCGTCAACAGTTCAACGATCTGGTAATCCTCCTTCCAGTGGCATCGTAACTGAGCAATATGATACCTGTTTGATGGGTAAGTTTTACCAAGCTTTCGACTAAAATTAGTATAAGAAATCTTTCTGCTTTTTTAAGCTAAAGAAATTCGCTTGAAACACAAAGCTCCTGTTCTAAGTATTGTTGTTCTTGATGGATCTAATCGTCCCATTGGCCATGGTTCGGGAATACCAACAATTGAATCATCTCCTAATCATCAAACATTACCAACAAGTACTTCTCAATCGGCAACAACAACAATGGTATCTCAAGAGCACACAATAAGTCCTACTACGTCTACCTCAACTGGATCTATTGCTCATAAAGTGCTTATTTGTTCCGAAGAACAATTTAAAGTGAGTTGTTGCGCATTCTGTACTTGTTTTCGTATTAATCACATATTGTTGTTTCATTTTCCAGATCTTTACATTACCGAGTTTAAAACCACTTTGTAAATATAAACTAACGGCAACAGAAGGTGCTCGTGTCAGAAAAGTTAGTGTAAATCAATTTACATTAAAAACAGGTACACATAAAATTAAAACTAGTGGAATAATAGTTTGTTGTACCTTACGTCTTTTACTTTTAGATGTCAATCAACAAACGTCTTATTCAGAATTATGTTTATTATGTTTGAGTAATTTGGGTGAAATTAGTATTTATAGTTTACCATCACTTCGGCGTCAAATCGTATTTAGTTGTATAAAGACAGGTGACATAACAGCATTGTCATCTGTTCAATTTACGCCCTATTCTCATGCATTCTATTTACAATCATCATCGGAATTAGCCGAAGTTACCTTTACACCCGTCTCATCGTATCCATATTCAGTGTCATTGTCATTTGATAAAGCATTAAGAAAATCAATTGAGCGATCAAATAACATTTCTCAAACATTTTTAACCATCGCTAATGATGATAATAATAAAGAACAACAACAAAGTCCAACGAAAAGTGAAGCTAGAGATGACCAAGATAATAAAATTAAGACTAACAGTATCAAACAAAACATTGTCGAGTAAGTGAATTTCCAGAATAAAATACTTCTCTTCACTTAATCATTAGGCGTTAACTTAGATTTTTGAACAAAACATTAGAACAATTAGAGAAGAGTATACTCATTTGACTCTTATACACTAAACCGATTATGTTTTCATGAATATTTTGACGTCTTCTACGTAAACGATGGAGTCCTTTTTTACACCCTAAATCTATCTTTTCCTAATGTAAATTACGTCCTTCAGAACGGATAGCGTATATCAGATTACTTTTTGCTCAAAATTGAGATCAAAAATATTTTTCAATTCTTCCTTTTGACTCGATTTTGCATGTTAATAATGAATGTGTCATTTATTTAAAAAACAATATTATCTAGTGTGTCAAAACTCTAAAGTGACTGTTCAAAATCTTTAATAGCGATGTTAAAATTACAAAGTTTAGTACAATAATTAATTATTACGTATTTTGACCCTATCTTCAGATTTTTTATCACTAAAATATCCGTACTAATATTCGATTCGTATGGTCAAATACATGTATCACATATCACTATACTTGCAGAGATCTGAGGCGTATAAATAACGATAATAAATATATCACTTTAGTCGCTCTGCTCCTTTGTGCCAAAAAAGAACGATCCCTGATATGAAAGAGTGTAACAAAGATTTTTGATATTTTTATCTCGCAGAATACAAAACAAAATACAAATTGAAATATCAGAGTACTTTTGAACCTTGTCCTACATGAATCATTAGAAATCCTGTTTTTACAGACGTATTCTCAAACTGATTGATTTCAGGTCATCACCATCACCACTGAATCTGGATAATACAAACGATTCGACTCTAACATCAGTTAGTGGAACGAATCATCATTATCATCATTCATCAACGATTAGTCCATTGTCAAAATCATCAAGTTCTTCACCTTCTCAAAAGATAAATATGGTACGTGCAAGAAGTTCAAAAATTGATCATACAGCATGCATATTGTTTTCAGAGACGTTAAAACTTAGACATATAGCTCCGCACTAACTAGTCCTAGGAAAATGTGTATTTGTCCAGTATTCTAGAATCTCCAAGATCCAAAAAAAGCCGGATTTAATCGCTTGAAAGCGGTTTTCTATATAAAATCTTTTGAAAACACAACGAAAATTTGCAGTTTTCCTGTCTAATGGTATATTTAAAGTTGCTTTTTGTTTACTTTATCTTCTAATGCCGAATTATACTTAAAAATGAAATGTGTCTAAAGGCTTATTCTATCTAAGTTACAGGCTCAAATGAAAACTATATAAACAAATTTTTTATGCAGTAGGATCAATTTCTTGACTCATCTTGTTTCTGAGTTTTTTTGTAATTTAAATTTTTTTTTCAGAGTAATTTATCTTACGGTGATAATCACCATCATGAAAAAGAAGAACCAATGAGAAAAGGGATAGATAGTGTTGGTGGAAATAACAGCAGTATAAATTCAGATTCAGCTATTGATCTTAGTTTAGCAAGCACATCAATGAATACAACAACGAAAACAAATTCAGTGTAAGAAATGATATTTTGCTTGTAGTTAACTATTACCATTTGTTTTTGAATTCATTTCTTGTATTTAGTGACGAAAATCATAATACAGTTTATAAATACAATGGTAAATCGCATGAACGAGAGTTATCACCATTTCAATCAACGCCACTTAAAAGTAAGATTAACATATCTTGCCTAGAAAACAAGAAATTATTTTGGCAAATGTTGACTTAGAAAAAGAGTTGTACATAAGATTTCAAGTCACTATACGTGCTCTATCCCGCTGTTATAGACCATTTTTTTTTCAACTTTAAAATCATGTCTTCGGTTTTTTATGTTTTAGTTTCAACCGATGTACCATCGTCAATATACAATGGTCACTCCATTAGCAACAGTTCTATCTCACCTGTTGAAAAACAACAACAAAAAATCTCACCAACATCTTCAATTCCCCTACATTCGACAACATCACCAGCTAAACTAATATCGGTGAAAGTCCGTCAGGCTCCCACCATCAATGAAATTCATTGTAATGGTACAAAGCTTGATCATCAAATACCACAATTAACTTCTCCACAACGGACATCAGCACCAATTGCACCACCAAAAATTATTCATACTTAAATTGTTTTCTCTTTCTAACGTGGTTGATGAATTATAATTAATGTTATTATTGTAAATTACGTTTTATTCTTTGTTGTTTTTGTTGATCTGACTACTTAACCGTTATCTCATGTATTTTTTTCGTTTGGTTTTTAAAATTATGTAATTGAATTCGTTTTTTTCTTTCGCACTACGCGCGTTACTCAAATATGAATGATTTTCTTCGTGTTTTTTTATCTTGTTTTGTCCGTACTTGATCTTCCGTGTGAGTGTGTGTGTGTGTGTGTGTGTTTGGATGACGGATTATAATCCGTACGAAAGAGAGAAACCTATAACTAGAATTATGTATACTACTACTTTTTTTAATCTCTTTTTGTCGTCATATGACTAGAAAACATAAATAAAATAAAAGTAATTTACAGAGTTTTTCTTTTAAATTTCTTTCTAATAAAAAAAAAAATGATAGAAAGCAACTGTAGTCGCGTGATTCAAAATTAAATACGTTTGGGAAATATCAAATGCATCGTCTAGTACATTATCGGTTTCATCTGTTCAGTGGACACTAAATGGGAAATAAAACGTTTTTGTACGTGTTAACTGCACCTTACTTCAAAATTCGTTGATGTGCAAATTAATAATTCAACCAAACAGCCATTTGACACCCGATTACTATTTCTCTCTGTCTCTCTTTCTACGTCTGTCGAGGGAGCGAAAAGAGTCAACTTTAATTATGTAGAAATCAAAAGTTCCAACGCCAATTTATACTATTGTTTTATTACTTAAAGGATGTTTTTCGATCAATATCGAAACGTTTGTCAATCGATCAGTCTGTTGATTGTTCAGTTCATATGGTATATTATAATTCACAATGTCGACAGTTTTCTTAACTGACTAGTCTGATGTATAGAATCTTATATTTTTGGAATGATAAATAGATAAAATGTACGTAAAAAATGACTAATATCAACATGCCCAAGATTGAATTGATATGAACAATGTAAAAAGCTTTGATCTTGATACGGAGAAAAATGATTAACTTCTAATTAAATTCTAGAAAGATAAAAAGAATCACTGATGATCATTAAATATTTATTAACATTTTACTAAGAATAGTGAGAGTATAGTTCATGATGCAGTTTAATATTTACCTGTTTATGGTGATTATTATTTAAAATCAGTCATGGATGCTGATAAAAAGTATTCAGCAATCATCTTCATCTCGTAATGATGGCAAACAGTTAACATAAAATTTCTCTATTACATTTTTTCTGTCAACTTTGACATTTTTT